TGTTTCTGGCAGAGACCAGGAAAGGAAAGCTGGTGGTCAGACAGCCTTTGCCAAAAGGCTCCAGGTACATTGTGTCCAGTATTCCGAGAGGGACGGGACTGACTGACACCAGTGACTCGGCAGCCTCTACTCTGCAGGTGAGAAACTACCACTGAGAAAACACTATAAGGTGTAATATAATAAATCAACTCAGATTGAAAAAGCATACAAAAAAAACTTAACAAAAACAAGAAATTCAATTTCTTCAAACTGAACTTTTTGCGAGACATTTGTCTGTAGAAATACAATGCTCAACAGCAGCAACACTTTTTTCAACAATCAGAAGAGTTAGTTAATACATGTCACTCCCCCTGCTTTTTTTTTTCATTATGTTCCTTTTCAATACAGTAGTTGCTCACAAGCTAAAGCTCTTTTGCCATAGACATATGTCTTATTTCGTCAGATGAGATTCTAAACCGGAAACTTTTATTTGTGCAGTTATTTTTTTGCCCCATTTTTTATGATATTTATTTTCTAAGTTCCGTTTTTCTTTTCACAGGCGATATCTGATCATCAGACTCATCTATGGAGTTTTTTGATTCTGTAAAAAAAAAATCACTCAAATGAACATGTTGCGTAAGAGATTGTTAATAAGTTTTGAAGAAGCAACTGTTGTCTTGCTCGAAAGGCTTATTTTTTCAAGGAGTCGCTGTGGATTTGGGGGGATCGTGATAAATCTGAACAAATCTTTTAATCGACCAGAATTGTTCAAAGTTAAATCCGTGTAAAATGTTTGCTGTCTTCAATTGATGTTAAAAAGAAAAAACAATAGTGCAGAAGTGTTACTCACGTCACTTGTCCTTTGTTTGAATGTTTTGACTGATTGGTTGGAAACAAATGGTGATTAAATGTTCAGTTCTCAGCACACTGAGGCGCTGTTACCCAGTCCGACCATCAACAGTGGCGTGACAGTTTCCATAAAAGCCTTCAGAGAAGTGAAGTAAAGAGGATGGAGTGAGAACAGCTCTTGATTCTGAATGCATTAGATTTCGGCACAGTCGGATTTTTCAGTCTCCTCTGGTAAATGAACTGAATCTTGGCTCGGATTAAAATCTTACTTGGATCTGTTGTGAACTACGCCAAGGAATAACACAGGTTTAAACCAAAATGGAGGGTTTAATCTGCTCTGGACAGTGGGCAAGGTATGTCTCGACAATGCTTCTCTTCGTTGTTACAATAAAATCCACGTCAGCAGTAACACACTATTCTATTCCCGAAGAACTCGAAGAGGGTTCCGTCGTTGCAAATCTAGCTGGAGATTTGGGACTTGACGTGAAGACTTTGGTCGAACGGAAAATGCGTCTAGATATAATTGGCAACAGAAAATACCTGGATGTGAACAAAGAAACGGGGGAGCTCTATATTACAGAGCGAATAGACAGGGAGTTTCTCTGTCCAGCAAAGACATCGTGTTATGTGAAAATGGAAGCAATAATCGAAAACCCAAAACGGATATTTTACATCGAATTAGAGATAATGGATATAAATGACAACGCCCCACACTTTAGAAGAGACACAGTCGATTTAGATATTTCAGAGGCTACACAGGCCGGTGAGCGTTTTTCTGTGAGCAATGCAGTTGATCCAGACGTTGGATCGAACTCCGTAAAAACGTACCACTTGAGCGAAAGTGATTTCTTCACAATAGAAATTCAAACGGGGCGAGATGGGTCAAAATTTGCTGACTTGATCTTGAAAAAAAGTTTAAATCGAGAGAAGCAAGCTGTTCACAATTTAATTCTTACGGCTGTTGACGGTGGCACGCCGTCTCGTTCTGGTACAGCCAGTATTATTGTTCATGTTCTGGATACAAATGACAACGCGCCTTCATTTGAACAAGAGAGTTACCAAGTGAGTATATTGGAGAATTCTCCAATTGGCAGTCTAGTAATTCAACTTAATGCAACAGATCTAGATGAAGGTTCAAATTCAGAGCTTATATATTCATATAGTTTATACACGTCTGAAAAAACGCAAGAAACTTTTAATCTAAACCCCACATCCGGGGAAATAACTGTAAAAGGCGTGTTAAATTATGAAGATTTAAGGATTTATGACATGGAAGTGATAGCAACAGACAGAGGTGTCAATGTACTGTCAGGACAGTGCAGAATTAAAATTCTTGTTGAGGACATGAATGATAATCATCCAAAAATATCCATCAAATCCTTTCAGAGTCCAGTCAGTGAAAATATTGACTTAGACACAGTGATAGCTGTAGTCAGTGTCAGTGATAAAGA